GACTAAGCCCATATGTATCCTGACAGGGGTGTTTACTCGAACGGAGTTATCCCAGCCTCGCTGTGCGCACTCGGGTACGCAAAAGGGCCTGGGGACAGGAACTCGGAGAACAATAAGGATAGAGAAACTTAGAGGAAATAACCTACTGGGAGAATGGGAATGCACTGGGAATAGAAAAATCAGTCAGACAGGAAGAAATCAGATATTGGGAAGATGCCTACGGAGAGGGAGCGAGAGATGCCCATGAAGAGAGGTTTGGAGAGGAGCAATGTGCTGGGGAGAGAGGACAGGGGCTGCCAGCACAGGAGGAAGGCAGTCCCAGGCGTGCAGCACCCCAGTGAGGGAAGGGGTGCAAGTCACGGGGGGTGAAGAGGAGGAGAGTAGATGGCCCTTAAATAAACTTTGACTAGAGAGGCTCTTCTTCAGCCAGCAGACCAGTATTTCTGGCTGCAGGAACTTTGTATTCCCTCCCTATCTTGCTGGACAGGAGCAGATGGAGAGATAGGCCTTGACTGCCTAAGAAATTTTGACCGAGCTTGAGACTGTCATGTGTGCCGCATCAGTGGCAACTCACCTGGCTGCCTCGGCCTGGGGCAGAGCAGGGCTGGCTCGGGGGTCCCTGCCCCCGGCCCCGGGGTGGGTATAGTGGCCCTCTGTGGAGGCAGCAGACAGCAATAACAAGCAGTCACAGGCAGTAATGCAGCCCTTCCTGCACCGATGGCCCGGCCGCAGCCCAGGCGCTGCTGGTTTTGACTCGCTACTCATTAACAGGGTCCAGGCAGTGTGGTTCTCTGCTGCAGGACCAACGAGGGTCAGGGCTGGGGACACTGCAGCCACCCAAGCCCTGTCAGCATCTGCTCCCTGTAGACCTGGTGGGACTGTGGACAGACCATCCTGGAGCCCTGGCACCCTCCCAGGTGGGGCCCAGGAATGGAGTCCTCCCCGCCGAGCCAGATGCAGGGGGGATCACTCCCCCCACCAGGCAGGGCTCCCTGAGCTGGGGGAGGGGGGGATTTCTCCCTGCCATTCTAACCTGGTCCTTAGTTGGAGAGAGGAGTAGGGCAGGACGGGTGTCCCTAGCCTGGAAAAGAACAACTTTTGGGGCCCCAAACTACCCAAGACACTGCAGGGAGGATGCTGGGAGTGAAAAGAGCAGTGGGGTGGCAGAGGAGGAGTTGCACATCCAAGCCACCTTGCAATGCATCAGGGAAAATGCCTCAGCGCTGGCACCAGGCCTTCCCGGAGGGGACCAGAGGCACTAGTGAGGGGCTCGCAAGGGTGACAAGGGAGGGGAGGCCGGGTGTCGGTGCCGCCACCATGCTACCTGCATACTGGGTGCAGGCGCTGAGCACGCAGCCCATGGGGTGTGCGCGCCGGGCCGCCGGGGCGGGGGGCGGCTGGGGGCTTACAGGGGCGGCGAGGGACCGAGGGAGAAGTGGGAGGTCCCGC